AGGGCGCTGACTGAGGGCACCACCTCCTACAAGAGCAGGAACTGGAGTGCGGGGATGCAGTCACCCCGCCCTCTCCCAGACCCAGAACACCGCGCAGGTCACGGCCCAGAACCGAAACGACTTCTTTGTGCACAATCACACTTCACACTTCTTGTCTTCCATGTTTCATTTGCGGGTGTTTTTCCCGGACTCCTCCATCACATGCTACACGCATGTCACGTGCTGCTTGCATGTCGGTGTCCATCACACACCCACGGGCAGATCACTGGACCCACCCTGTGCCCTCAGAGCAGCAGGAGCCAAGAGGCCCCCTCCCGGCCTGTGCCCCCAGCCCTATGCTCTCATGACTCTGTCGGGCCCCCTTCATGCCAGGGGGTCCACAGTTACAGACCCACATTAACGCCCCCCGGTCAGGCCTCCGGGCAGTGAGAAAGCCAGGGCAGAGCCAAGCTGACCACAGAGTGCCCACACGAGGGCGGTGCTGGCAGCAGGTGTTGGAGAGCGTCCCCCAACTGCCTATGTCCAACCTCTCCCCACACCTCAGTAGGGCCACAGTAATGACAGCAGGGCATTCCTGCAGGCTACATCTGGGCACAAACATTCCCTGGGTGGCCCCATGTGCCAGCCGCCTGGTGGCACTGGGCATGGGCCTGCCCGTCTGAGTCTACACCGCAGCCCAGCAGCATCCAGCAGAGCTGGCCGGATCATGGAAAGTTCTAGCCCCATGGCGGCCATGACTGACCTACAGTCGCTGCGTGCCTGGCGTCCTCTTACACTGCACTGCGTCTCGTGGATGGAGATCCACACGGCAGGTGGGCCAGTGATCGCTGTGCAGAGCTGGACTGCACCGGGCGACAGGTCGACAGGTCCAGGACTGCACCGGGCGACAGGTCCAGGACTGCACTGGGCGACAGGTCGACAGGTCCAGGACTGCACCGGGCGACAGGTCCAGGACTGCACTGGGCGACAGGTCCAGGACTGCACTGGGCGACAGGTCCAGGGTGCCGGTGTGTTGCGCACTCGGGAAGGGGTAGAGTCCCAGGCTGTACCTCCAGCACCCCGTACATAGGAGCACCCCAAGCTCCACCAGGCTGCCCCACTTGGGCTCCAGTTCTCTGCTAACACACCTAGAAAAGCAGTGGAGGGTGGCCTGACAACCTCACGACAGCTGGATGGAGCCCCGACTGCTGGCTCTCGCCTGAGCCCTCCCTGGCCATTGTGGCCTTATGGGGAGTAAACCAGCAGATGGAAAACTCATCGACAATTTTGCCTCTGACCTCTCTAACTGCCGCTGTCTGGTCCTCTACCAGCCCAGCTCTGCACCCACACCCCCGCCTGAGGCTGCAAGCGACGCACATCAGCTCAGAGTGACTTCTACAGGCCTGACCAGCGTCCTCCCCAGCTCCAGCATGCTGCTCTCTGACCAACAGACCAAGGGGCACTCAGCTGTGCCAGGAAAGACGGATGGTCCCAGCAGGGGGTGAGAAGGAACAGCCGGCACCCCAACCTGGCATGCCCAGAGGCAGCCAGGGGCAGGCAGGTCCAGGGACAGGCAGGTCCAGGGACGGGCTGCAGAGCCCAGGGCAGGCAAGGCGTGGGCAAGGCTGGGGTGAGGAGGCCGGCTGACAGAGCCTGGCACTAGTGGAGCGCTGTCCAAGGTGCTGAAAGCCAGCCTCTCCCCCGACGCCAGAGAGCCAGCTCCCGTGGGTCCCAGAGCCAGGGCCTCCAGGTCGGGCTCTGCCCACCACGGCCCCTGCAGAGCCAGGGAAGTGGCTGGCCCTGAGGCTGGTGGCCTGCCACGGGGAAGTCACCCCAAGCACACCCTTGCACATGCTCACAGACTTGACTCACTAAGGACACAGGGTCCAGAACACACGAAACAGCTCGCGCCTGACACCGGAGGCTTAGGGGAAGATGAGGACGAGACTGGAGAGAAGGACCCTCCACCTGGCAGCCTCACGCAGGCCTGCCCGGCTCGAGTGGCCCTCGCCGTAGCCGGCACCAGGTCCACTATCTGCTTTTCCCTCCCACTGCCCCTGCCAGGGACTGGGGGCTGAGCCAACGCCAGGCCTCGTCACGCTAGGGCCAAGTGGTGGCTTCAAACCGCAGGCTGCCTGCCGTCTTCTCGGGCAGCTGCCTCATCCCAGGCGGGTCGCATCCCTTGACACCCGGAGGGGTGTGCGTGCAGCGTCCTGGGCCATGTGGAATGCGTTCCCGGCAGCAGGCGCACCCATGCCTGCGCAGCTCCATGTTCCAACCGTGGGTGTGTGTGACTCGCGTGGGCTGCGGGAATCTGGGCCGGGGCGTGCGATGACTCACAGCTTTGGGGGTGTGGGTGGGCTTGTTTGAAAAGGGGAACTTTTGGCCTAAGCCCCCGGGGGACAGCACTGGCCGGCACAGCCCACCCTCTCCTCGGGGTAGAGAGGACGAGGCACAGGTCTTGGTTCAACCAGGGGCATCCAGAGTGGATCTGCTGGCAGCCCAGCTCTCACACATGCACAGTCCAAGCCGGGGTCACTACCTGGGGTCCACCCAGACCGTGTCCACTGCCCAAGGTGCCCCACAGGCTGATGAGGACCCGCCTGGCACCCAGCCCCCACAGCTCTCAGACATCCCTCTCTGATGGCCAAGACGGTGAGCGACATCATAGTAGTGACACGGGACACCACACTCTCCACGCACTGCGTTGCCAGGCCTCACCCTCACAACCCGCTTGCAGAAATGGGGAGAGAGCGGCTTAGAAAGGTTCAGCGCCTTGGCCAATCGGGCTCAAAGCAGGGGGGTGACGCCAGGGTCAGAACCCCCAGCAGGCACCCCCGCACCATGCCCCCAGAGCAAGGAAGCTCCGCCACCAAGAGGCAGTGCCTCCGTGCCCAGCGTCTGTGAGAAGGGTGTGCCTTGGGGAGCTGGTAGAGGTGGCCCGGGCTCAAACACTCGGCGCCGGTGCTGGCTGAACACAGAACCCATTTGCCACCAGTGCATTATTCATGCAAGACAGCACCCGGAGCTGGGCTAAGTGAACCACGCAGCTTCACTGGGCTGGTGCCCAAGGCCCACCCCGAGAGGCAAGCGGGGACCATGCCCTTCCCAGGGGGCCGCTGCCCCAGGAGGGGCTCACATTCCCATCTCCTTCCCAAAGGGAAGCTGGAAACACAACCCAGAAAGGTGGCCCCGGATATTAGGACCCGACTGCTCCAGGCCAGAGGGGTTGCCACACCGTCACCACCACGACCTGGCTGTGCAGCCCTGCACGTGAGCCTGTGGGAGCAGGGGCTCATGGCCCCCCACCCCGGCTCCAGGAAGCCTAGGGAACAGAACCACGTGTGAAATAGACCTGACCTGGCAGGATGGGCGGGAGGGGGGCGGGGGTCTGCGCTGGGGCTGACCGGGCAGTGTTGGGGGGCGCCCAGGAGCCCACGGGGGAAAGAAATGAGGCTGGCATTGGAGACCGCTAGGTCCTATAAATACCGGGCAAATGTTTTCAGGATCAAGAAAGGAATCCCCCAGGCCACGTGGAGGCGTGGGTGCAGACTCCTGAATGTTCCAGGAAGTTCCACAGCATTGGGAGTGGGGTGGGAGTGGGCCGAGACCCTCCCCTCCCTGTGTCCCCATGTGAGCGTGGCTGCACGGGCCAAGAAGCAAGTGCTGGGGCAGGCTCGGCCAGAGCCCCTCTGCAGGGCAGCCCGGCCACAGCCCACAGGCGGCTGCATCCCTACTCCAGGGCTCCAGACAGCCCAGCTGGGAGCGCCGACTGCCTACCCACCTCCCTGGGCCACCCACAGCAGCTGCCTGGGCCTCGCCGGGCCTGTGTTGCGGGCAGCAGAGCACACACGCAGGCCCACACCTGGAACCCAGGCAGGCCCGTCTGCCGGGGCCTGGCTCTGCACCCCTACCCGCTCCATGACAACAGTCAGGAAGGGCCACCGGGGACCGGGGCTGGGCCTGACTCCGACAGGCAGCAGCGTTATATAATTAACTGCCCCAGACTCCTCCTCTGCTCTGGGCAATAACGAAGCTGCCTTCCGTTGCATAAGCCAAAATAATCATTACAGGGCCCTCCGTGGCTGTGGCGTGGTCGCGGCGGGGGAGGGGAGCAGGTGTTCTGAGCTCCTGTCCTGGGGGCCCGGAGGCAGGGAGCCACCTCTGGGGACTTGCTCCGAGACGGGGGAGGGACACCTGGAGTGGGGTCTGGCTTCCAGGAACAAAGGCAGCAAAGCAGCCCAAGCGTCCCCTCTCCCTGCTGCCCCCTCTCCCCGCTGCCGCGCCGGGCTCAGCCCCCAGTGAAGGAATGACGGCCTGTGGTGGCATCTCCTGCGGAGGCAGCACAGAATCCCCCCTCAGCGACAGCAAGGGGAAAATGATTCAGCCACTGGAAGGCGAGATTCCTGGGCTCTGGCTAAGCAGATGGGCCTCCCCCTCCCTCCAGCAGCGGCAGCGCAGCCCCATCCAACCACCTAGAAGTTTATTGCCTCGCCGCGCCAGGGCTGGGATTGGCATCTCCGGCCCTGGCGCTCCCCACCGCTCCCTCCTCATTGGCTTGGGTTGGTTCAGGGCTGAGGGAGGCCCTTGGGCAGCAGGAAAACAGGCAGCGGTCCGGACCAGCTCCCCCCACGCCAGGGGCCATGGCGACCAGGGAGGGGACCCTGGCCCAGCACCACCCCTCCCCAACACACACACACAGACACGCTGCCTCTGCTGGGCCCCAGGGCTGGCCAGGCCCCAGCAGGGCCTTTCCCCGTCTCTGGCCTCCTCAGCCCAGCTCCCCGGCAGGCCTGGCCCACATGCTGCAAAGCCCCCCAGCGCCCCTCACCAGGCAGAAGGGCAACCTGTAGCCAAGGGCCGCTGAGGCCTCTGGAGAATTCCGTGCCCACGGCCCCAGTCTAAGGAGTGGCTCAACTTCCCCAGAAATCAGCAGAAGGGGCCAGATGTGCACAGCGTCCCTCCTCCGCGCCCACGCGCCCCCCACCAGGCCCCCAGCCCGCCGCGCCCGCAGCGCCTACCTCCATCCGAGTAGGTCTCGGTGCCGTAGCCGTCCTGCAGCCCGTTGCTCCAGGTGCCTTCGTACTTGGCCCCGTTGCCAGTGCACTCCCGCACCCCGTAGCGCCCCTTAAATCCGTGCGTCCACTCGCCCTTGTACACCCACTTCCCCTTGCTCTCCACACCGATGCCGTGGCGCTTGCCCTGCGCCCAGGTGCCCTGGTACGTGTTGCCGCTGGGCCAGGTGTAGACGCCCAGCACCTCGAAGCCGTGGCTCCACGAGCCGGTGTACTCGCCCTGGCCCTTGGGGCCGGTGCAGACGCCATGGCCGTGCGCCTTGCCGTCCTCCCAGCCTCCGCAGTAGGACCCCCCATCGTCAAAATTAAACCTACCCCCACTGGACATGCATGAAACTCGGTTTGTGGAGCCGCGCGCGGTGAAAAAAAGCCCGAGGCGACCCCCAGCCCGGAGTCCTGGCCCGCCGCTTTGTGCTGCGACCCGGCCCGGGGGAGGCGGCGGCGAGCAGGCGCGGGCTCCGGCGGGCTCTAAGTCACCGGGGGCGACGCTCCCCGAGCTGCGCCGCGGAGCCCGGCCGGCGTCTCGCGCTCCCGCTGGAGCCGGGACCGGAGGCGGGGGAGGGGCGGCGGGCGGCGCAGGGAGGGGGCAGGAGCGCCGCGGCTGTGCCCGCGGCTCCGCTCAGTGCCAGGGCCCCGCGGGCTCAGGCCCGGGCCGCGGCCCCCCACCTGCGGCTGCCGCGCTGCGGGCGCCGGGGGGCGGCGGCGGCAGGGCCCGCGCGCGGCGGCACGGGTGGCGGCTGCACGGGCGGCGGTGGCACGGGCGGCGGCGCGGGCGGCTGCACCATGTCGGGGGCCGCGGCCGGGCGCGGGGCGCGGCGGCAGCAGCAATGCGGCGGGCCCGGGCGGCGGCGGCGACGGCGTGCGCTCCGGGCCCGGCTCGCGCGCTCGGCAGGCGAGGCGCGCACCCAGGCGGCCCGCGCGCCCCCTGACCGATCCCCCGGCCCCCCGCGCACACACGCGCGCACACACACGCGCGCGCACACGGCCCGGAGAGGGGCGCTGCCTGGCCAGGCCTGGTGCGCGGCGCGCAGGCGGGGACCCCGAGGCGCCCCGCCCTTTGCAGTCTCTCCTGGCTTGCTCCCCAACTCCCTGCCTCCCCGAGAGCCCGGTCGGCTGGAAACAGGGGTCCATCGAGGGCGCCCTAGCCGCCCCCACTTTCCCAGGACTTGGATTTAAAGGGACACGAACTGTGTAACCCAGGGCACTCTGTGCGCCCTGCCAGGAGAAAGGAGGCATGGTCAGGTTACCTGGGGAGACCCCACCCCCTGGCGCCCTGGGAGAGTACAAGTGGTTTTCCCCCTAAAGACTCAGCGCAGCTCGGGCCCCACCGTGGGCGCAGAGGGGCGCTCACCCCAGAAAACCTGCGTGTGGCGAATCCCCGTGAGTTAAGCACGGGTCACACTGCAGTCCCAGGAATTCGGAGCGCCCTCCGCGTCCTGGCCAACAGGTGTGCCCTCCCCACATGCACACAGAGCTCTGGAAGAGACAAGGGGCCTCAACTCACACGCTCCCCTCCCCTTCCAGACAGCGTCTGTGTTTGGAACATCTTGGGATCAGTTTAAACCGTGAGTCCTCAGGCAGAAGCCAGTGTCCCCGACCCTCCCCGGAATGTGTGCGCTGAAGGGCTACAGCGGGGGCGGGGGACTGTGGAGAGGCCGCTGCAGGGGCAGGGCTCATGGAGGGCAGCTGCGGGGACGCAGGAGCTGCGATTCAGGTCAGGAGAGCTTCGGATGGTGGCTGCAGGTGGCTGAGGCCCTGTTTTCTTCTGTCACCCAGTGGCCAGATGTGCTTCCCCTCTGGGCTGCTTCCAGGGACATTGCTGGGAGGGTTCACTGTGCACAAAACCCTTGGGAGGCGGAAGGAGTGTGCGCGCCCTCTGCGATTCCTTCCTGGGGACTGGCAGCCCTCAGCACCCCCCACCACACACTGTTGCAACCACTGTGGCCCTAACTCCTGCACACTCTGCATTTGCATTTCCAAATGCTGCCTGCTGAATCAGCAGCCCTCCAGCAGTGGGCTGTTGGAAAATGGCAACTGCTTCCAAGCCATCGCTGGCCAGCACCTTCCCATCCGGCCTTGACATTCTGAGCCCCCTGCCCTGCACCCCGCCCCCCCCCCCCGTGATCTCCCCTTCCCCCATTTCCCGTGACCCTGGTGACTCCAGCCACGATGAGAGATGCAGGCACCAGAGGCGTTCCAGTGCCATGAAGCAGGGCTGGCAGCTTGAACAGGAAACTCTCCAAGGCCGTGGGCCTCAGGCAAACAGGGTGGGGGGAGGGAAAGCATCATGAACTACTGCCACCTCCGTGGCCTGGGAGCCTGGCACCCTCTGCACTTCTGAAAGTCTGACCTGGGCCACCTGGATGGAAAACCCTCACCCAAGAGAGGGCAAGGCGCAATGGGGTCTCTCTTGTCCCCCGCCCACACCTCTGGCCTCTGGCCCCTCTGTTTCCTTTGCCTGCTCTGAAGTTTTTTGAATTCCACTCTGGGGAGAATTCCTGACTTTTTTCTCCCCCCCATTTATATTTATTTATTCTTATATTGGAAAGGCAGATTGGACTTAGGGAGAGAAGAAAAAGAGGGAAAGATCTTCCATCTGCTGGTTCACTCCCCAAATGGCTGGAATGGCCAGAGCTGAGTTGACCCTAAGCCAGGAGCCAGGAGCACCTTCCAGGTCTCCAACATGGCTGCAGGGGCCCAAGACCCTGGGCCGTCCTCCGCTGCCTTCCCAGATGCATTAGCAGGGAGCTGGATGGGAAGCCGAGCAGATGGGCCTGGACCTCCAGGAGGGAGGCTGCCGGCCTCAGCGTCCTACGGCAGCCAGGCCTGAGGCTCTGGTGGCCCACATCCGCCTGGCTCCTGCCGGTGTCTGCCATGGGTAGCTGTGGCCCGGCCTCCTGTGTAGCTGTGACACACATCTGATGGACATCATGGGCCACCCTTTCCTGTGTCTCAGTGCTGGGACCCGCCACATGCTCCTGCCCGGCCCCTGCCCCCCGCTGCAGTGGTGAGGGCTTCCTGCAGGCGGAAGAGAGGGCACTCAGGCCAGACTCTGGCCCCTGGGACCAAGGACCTTGCGTCCTCCCTGAAGCTGGGGGCAGCTTGGCCGAGAGGTCTGTGCCAGTGGCCGGCCCCCTGTTAGCCAAGCAGCAATTCATTTCCATGGGGACGCAGCCACGATGCCAGTGCAGGGACGCAGCTGCGATGCCAGTGAGGCTTGGTGGTGATATTCTACCACTCAGGGACACCGGGGCCCAGGTTCTGGGCTGGGCACCACCCTGCTGACCCCCAGGAGCTCCAAGGCAAAGGGACAAGGAGCCCCAAGAGGTCAGAGGCTGAGCAGCACCTGGCATCCCTGCTTCCCCCTCCAGTGGCCCCTGGACTCCCAGCCTGGTGCAGGCCCCCCCTCCGGTCCCTCTCAGGGCCTGCCTGCCACCACCACGGCCCAGGCATTTGTCACCAGCTCGGCCCCCACAGCATGCTGGGTGCTTGTCCCTGTCCCTCTAACACGGTGGTGGGCTGGCATCTGGCCCAAGTGTGCTAAGTCACCATCTGTGATGCTGGCATCCCAAATGAGTGCTGGTTCAAGTCCCAGCTGCTCCACTTCCCATCCAGCTCCCTGCTCGTGGCCTGGGAAAGCAGTGGAGGACGGCCAAGAGCCTTGGGACCCTGCACCCGTGTGGGAGACCCGGAAGAAGCTCCTGGCTCCTGGCTTTTGCCTGGCCAAGCTTCAGCCTTTGTGGCCATTTGGGGAGTGAACCAGCAGACAGATGGATCTTTCTCTGGCATGCTGCCTGTCTACGACACTGAGGCAGGAACAATGCCCGCAGGCACACAGTGCTCACACACACTCAGGGGCTGACCCCACTCCGCAGCGTCCCATGTGTCCACCCACTGGCTCTTGGCGCTGTATGACAGGAGCTGCTGCTCCGGGCAGCACCACTCCAGATGCACCCCGTCACATCTGAAGGAAGGGTGCTCTCACAGCTCCCCGACACCAGAAGGCACAGAGAGACATGGCCACATTCCCAAGGCCACACAGCCACTGCATGGCAGACCTGGGGCAGGGATACAGGACAGCCAGAGAGGGGGGCATAGGCCGCAGGCTCACACGGAGGGCTGCGTGCCTGGCACTGCCCTTCATGCTGTGGGCCCTCATGTAGGACAAGCCACTGAATGCCAACTTCTCACCCTGCTGTGTCCTGGCAGGGGGCTGGTCCACACACACACGTCCCCAGGGGGCCCTGTGCATCTCTAAGGCAGGCCTAGCACTGCAGTCAGGGTCACGGCCAGAGGAGCTCAGCCCAGGAGTATTGGCCCTTTCCCCGTTGTCACTTCCCCTTCATGAAGTGGCACGGGTGACTTTCCGGGGCCTGCATCAGCAGCCAGGTGGACTCAGGTCGTCAGGGCACAGGAGCGGGGCTCACCCGTGACTGGACCCTGGGTCCAAACCTGGCTGCAGGAAGGCCTGAGGGCTTCTGGGAGGCAGCTGAGGGTGGACAGCGCTCACCCAGCAGGGCTCAGCCAGGGCCCGGGGTGGCTCTTGGCTCCTGGGCAGGCCTGGGCAGCCACACAAGCAGGAGGCAGAGGTAATTACCGAGGCAGGGCCCACTGGGACCGAGGAGGGAGTTGAAGCAGGAGGTTGGAGGCTGCCAGCTCATTTGCTCACCGTCCATGGAGTGCCTGCTCCATGGCTGCTGCTCCTCCGGGGGACCCTGCAGTCCAGGGGCGCAGGGCCTGGGGAACGCCCCTCTGTGTTCCAGCCCTGAGCCTGGCCTGTGGGAGGTGCTCCCTGGAGGCTCATGGGACTGATGGCAGGGACGTGGAAGCAGGAGGGAGTGGCTGCGTCTGTGGAGATGGAGACAGCAGGTGCCGTGCCAGTGGGGAGTGCAGAGGAAAGCCAGCAGGTTGGGAACTGAGACTTAAAACCCCGTGTCCACCAGTGGGGTCTGGATCATGGCACGGTGAGCTAAGAGGCCAGCCACTGTGCCAGAATCCCTGTGGGCACCGCTCTGCTTCCAACCCAGCTCCATGCTGATCCACCCGGTCCAGCCCTGGTCATTGCGGGCCCTTGCTCACTCTATCCCTTCTCTCTGTAGCTCTACCCTCCAATAAATAAATCTTCTTTAAAATATATTTTTATTTTGATAATCTTACATAGTTAATTAGAGTACCAAGGGCCAAGGGTCACAGGAAAGTGGGTAAGACCATTGTCTCCACACTCATATTGTTTTTTTCTTTCTGTATCTGGGGTAAGAGGAGAAACAGAGGGAGAAGCCGCACCAGCCTCCCCACCCCAGGTCCCCGTGGGAGGCGCGCTCCGAGGGG